GGTGGACTTCCCTTTCATTTGTTCTAAATCTGAACCCTGGGCTATAAACACATGGAGGGAGCAAACAGGAAGGCTCATGGAGACAGATCCTTCAAGGCCATTGTCAGTTCTTCAAGGAAACTGAAATTAAGGAGGGAGGACCCACGGGTGTCAGCTGACGGGGCCTTAGAAATATGGTTGAGTTATTCGGGCACCATGTGATCCGGGTGTGGTAAGGAGTGCAAGGCACTGAGGAACACTGATCTAAAAATGGCCTTCCTGGTCCTAGGAGCAAATAAACACTAATGTTTTTATTGCTTATTGTTATTAATAAGCGAGCAATAAGCTTATTTGAACAGGATTCCTCGTGCCTTTGACCTATAAAAGAACAAAGACCAGAATTCATGGTGACCCATAAAAAAAAAAAAAAAAGGTAATATTCACCCATGAATATATAAACCCATGTGAGTTTACTATTTATCGAATTAAGAGATGCATTTCCAATAAATGTTTACTTTCTTTAACAGTTACTTTTCATAATGTATATTTGAAATGTTTTAACCAATCAGGTATTGATAATAATGATGATGATTACTCAATCCGGAATAAATGTGTATAATATTTAGAGACATACGGGTCACAGGGGGTAGAAACAATTCAAGTGTATACTTTTTGTGTATACTTGTTGCACAAAATAATGTTAGGGGGATCAGGTATAAACATATGCTCCCTTAGGGTAAAATTTTGTGAGGTTTGGGTGGAGGAGATGGGGGTTCAGGAGAAAAAGAAACTATGTAACACGTCCGACTCTTCTAGAAAAGGTGGTTCATGTTACTGATAGTGGGCATTAAATCACGGTACACAGATTCCACTGGATAGCTTGAAAAGAATGATTGATTAAGTCTTATTTCAAAATGTCGATATGGACAATAAGCTGGGACATATCCTTTGCAGCTGTTTCCATTTAAAATGAATTTTTAGCCTGGCTGGTGTGGCTCAGTGGTTGAGCATCGACTCATGAACCAATAGGTCCCTGGTAATCGGCACATGCCTGGGTTGTGGGCTTGATCCCCAATAGGGCCCCCCCCATCGATGTTTCTAACTCTATCCCTCTCCCTCTCTCTCTCTAAAAAAATCAATAAAAAGCACATTTTAAAAATGTTTTAAAAAATGAATTTTTAGATAACAAAAATGCACAAGGGGGTGGAGATATTAGCAGAGGTCCCCAAACAACTGGCCGGCCTGTTTTTGTAAATAGAGTTTAATCGGAACACGGTCACACTCATTTGTTTTCCAAATACTAGAGTGGAGTTGAGCGGCTGTGTCGGAGACCATAAGGATTGCAAAGTCTAAGATACTTACTCTGTCCTTTTAACAAAAAATTGCTCACTGTTGGGGTCTATAGATTTTTTTGATTTTTTTAAAAAATATATCTTTATTGATTTCAGAGAGAGGAAGGGAGAGGGAGAGAGAGAGAGAGAAACATCAATGATGAGAGAGTCATTGATCGGCTGCAGCCCGCAACCCGGGCCTGTGCCCTGACCGGGAATCGAACCCTGATCGCCTGGATCCTAGGTCGACGCTTAACCACTGAGCCACGCACGGCCGGGCAGGAGGGTCTATAGATTTTTAAAATTAAGTTCTTATTGACATATACTATCGTACAGAAAAGTACACAGGTTATTAAACGTGCATTTCGGTGAATTTCCACAAGCAGCACTCCAGCAGCCCCTTCTGTGTCCCCAAGAGCAGCCGCTCTCCTGGCTTTGACACCAGAGGTCAATGGCACATGGCTTTTCAAAGTCAATTTGAGTACCAGCTTGCTTGCATTCGGTTTTTTTGTATTGCGCGTTAGGTGACACCATCCTCAGGGCTTTATGTTTAACCTAGTTTCCTAAAATGCAAAGTGGCTCTTGGGGCAGTGACTCACCGTTGTTACCGCCAGGCGCCAACGCATGATTTTTCTTTTCTTTTTTTTCTTTTTTGCAGAGACATTTCACTTTAAGTCATGGATGCTGCAGGTCAGTGCCCAACTTCTTCTTTCTGAAGTTTTTCATTCCTCTGAGTTTCCTGTTCTCAAAACAAGCTGTGCCAGATCTGAGACAGTGAAGGGGGGGTTTCCAGCGGTGCTCTCCCAGGTCTTTCCAAATAGCAGGAAGGGTCAGCTGAGTGACCACCCTCCTGGAGGTCCCCAATAGCGAAGTGGGCAGGCAGCCTTTCAAGCCTTGGGGTTCATTCCATATTTTGTATTCAAATCACATTATGTGCTGGCTGCAAAGTCAATTGGAGAACACTAGTGTGTGTGCTTTTGAAAAACGGTGATTGGTTTTTTTGGGCTGTAAACTTGACCCAGCACCAGCTGTGGTACCCAGGGGTGACCTGCACTTGGCAGGTTTCTTCACCGGAACCTCTGGGGCCGTTGGGGGACGTTCAGGTAGCTTCATGGGCTCCATTCCCGCCACAGGTCCCTGGAGGCAGGGGGTTTGCCTTGTAATTTCCTGATGGGTCTCAACAGCTGAGACCCAGGACAGGGTTGCACCCACTGCCATGGATTTTTGCCTGAGAATCTTTGGCAGCAAAAAAAATAAAAGCTCCATCGGTCATCTTCTTAGAAAAGAAAGCTGTGTCCTTCTGGGAGCCACGTCCAGTTCCTGGGACTTAATGCCACTGTTTTATTTTAGCACCGAAAGACGTACAGCGCAGACCAGTACCAGCACAGGCTAGAGACCTTTGCCAGCAACCGGAGGAAGATCAACGCCCACAACGCCAGGAACCACACGTTTAAAAGTACCTTGAGGATGCCTTTGCTGCAGGCTTCTCGCCCTTGGGAGGAGGGGAGCATCTCAGTGCTGGAAGGAAATCAGTTAGTGCCACCCACTCATTAAAGGCCCCGTGAGGGCCCAGAGCAGAGGGGGGAGGCCCAGTGTCTGAAGCTTCATTCGGCTCGCTCAGATCCCACTCTGCCGTTATTCTCCGTGAGATCCAATGGGTTGCAGATTTAGGACCATGCTGGGTAGTGTGACATGTCCAGGAGGCTTTGTTAAAGGTCCCCGCCCGCTCCTGCCATCCGAGGGTGCTGCCCAGATAGATGCTGAGCCCCTGCAGGGCTGTGGGTGCAGGGTCTCCGCAGAGCAACCTCCAGGGACATCTGCCTGCCCTGCAGGTCAGCGTCGCTAGAAATCCACGCAACACAGGGTGTCCACCGAGGACACCAAAGGATGGCAGTGTCAGCTAAGTTGGCGACGTGGGTGACAGGCACAAGCTGGAAGGAAGCCTGAATTGGGATCTCATTGCTGTGTGACCTGGGGCAGGGTTAAGGCCTCTGAAATGTAACTCGGCCATAAAGTAAGAGATGAAACTGAATGAAATAGCAGATGGGGAGGCACCTGGCTGGTGCTGGTACAGAGGTTCCATACCTGGGAGTCCATCAGACTCACCAGTGGGGTCTCTGGAATAGTGGGCACCCAGGCCCCATTGCAGACCCACTGCACCTGCGTGTCTGGGATGCATGCAGCTCCCCTGGGAATTCTTTCCCACAGCGAGGCTTGACCTTGATGCATTGAACTGACCTGGGAACACTGAATTATGACAATGAAAAATGTAAAGTGGCCAAGATGCCATGGCTGTAAAGGATACAAGTAAACATGGGGTATCTTTCATTCTTTTCTCTATTTCTTTATTAGTGACTTATTGAGCTCTTTTTTTGTTTTGTTTTCATTTTCGTTTTTGTTTTTTCTTTTTTCCAGTGGGAATAAACCAATTTTCAGACATGACGTTTGCTGAATTTAAACAGAAGTATCTTTGGTCAGAGCCTCAGGTAGGTGTCATTCGTTGTGACCGAACCTGAGTCTCTTCACTCAGACCTTGGGAATAACCTCATGGCCTACTCGGCTTCCAGGCTGATTTGGCTCGGGGCCCAGCCACAGATGGGGTGCCCCAGGTGCTTGGGGGGCCAGAGAGGTCAGCTCCCAGCAGCTCCTCAGCCCACACTCTCCGCCTTAGTGATGCGGACCCTGAAGTTAGGGTTGCCAGATAAATATACAGATACCCAATCGAAATAAAATGTCAGATAAAAAATGGATAATAGCCTCACTGGTGTTGCTCAGTGGTTGAGCATCGGCCCAGGAACCAACAGGTCACTGGTTCAGTTCCCAGCCAGGGCACATGCCCCAGTTCCAGGCTTGATCCCCAGCAGGAGGCAGCTGATCGATGATGTTTCTCGCTCATCGATGTTTCTCTCTCTCTCTCTCTCTCCCTCCCTCCCTCTTCCTCTCTCTAAAATCAATAAAAACATATATTTTAAAGAGCTTAATATTTTAGCATAAGTATATCCTAAACCTTGCATGGGATATACTTATACCACAAAGCTATTCTTGACTTACCTGCAATTCAGATTTAACTGAAGGAACTATGTCTTTACTCACTAAAGACTGGGCTCTCAGAGGGAACATTTAGCATTTGAGCCAATACATGGGGGCCAGGGACATCTGTAATACTTTCAACAATAAAGCAAATTAAAATTAATTAATTAACTTAAAAAATAAATACATGGGGGCCGCATGGTTCCAGCAGCTGCCAGTCTTTCTTATTCTCTCTTGGAGATTTCATTTTAATGACACACATTTCTGTGAAAAAGGTTTGGTTTTGTATTTTCACTGGAAAAAAACTATTTGTTGTTGCAGAATTGCTCGGCCACCAAAGGTAACTATCTTCGCGGTACTGGTCCCTACCCATCCTTTGTGGACTGGCGGAAAAAAGGACACTTTGTCTCAGAAGTGAAAAATCAGGTACATGCCTGCCAACCCCCATCCTGAGCACTAGCACTGCAAGCCCGTGGGGGAACCACTAGCTGGGCAGGCAGGGTCTTATCACCTCTCCAACAGCCCCATGATGCAAGCACCCTCCTTCTGTTCTGCAAATGAAACGGGGCTAGAGGGGGGACACAACTGCCCAGGGCGCACAGCCATCGCCAGAAGCAGGTGCCGTGAGTGAGGAGGCCGGGCAGGGGCAGTGACAGGGCAGTGGCAGCCGGGATGGACAGATGGATGGGGCCAGGCAGGTGGAGTCCCCTGTGTGGGCATCTGGGAGACAGGACGGCTGGGCCTTGGAGGAGGTCAGCCCTGAGGCAGGGTTTGGGGGAACTGTTAAGGTTAGGACTAGGGGTGAAATGAGATGGGAGGTGGAAAGGTGGGAGAGAAGGTTCTAGAAACAGGACCTTGGTGAGTCCTTCCGCTGAGAAAGGGCGGGAAGAAGAATCAGTATGGGATTCAGAAGCAGGAGAGCAGGAGGGAAGGGCTGGAAGGGGGAGGCCCTTGCGGGACAGAGGGCATTGGTCAATGGGAAACAGCACTGAGGGTGCTTGGGCGCCCGTCCAGCCTCAGCCACCTCCTCTGCGACATGGGGAGAAGGCTGCCGGCCTCACAGAGCTCGTGAGGGTCAGAGTGCACCAAGGCGGGCCGGGAGCCCAGGTTCTGAGGGGCCGTCTCGTGGGGCCCAGTTACGGAACCCCCTCCCTGCTTTAGGGCAGCTGTGGCAGTTGCTGGACCTTTTCCACCACGGGGGCCCTGGAGTCTGCGATAGCCATCAAAACGGGGAAGATGCTCTCTTTGGTAAGCAACTGGCCATGGGGGTGGGGTCACCTCCTGCAGAGGCTGCAAGTTGCCCTGAGGCCTGAACAGGAGGCCCGGCCTGGACCTTTAGGGCTTTCTCCAGAAGGCTCTAGGGCTTCAGCTAACGATGCCCAGGCTGCCCAAGTCGTTCACAGAGGAAAGAGCTGGGCATTCAACCCGGCCCCCCAGAGGGAGGGAGAATGTCTGAAGGGAGTGCCCAGCCCCTGCCTCCTGTGGGGACGAGGGCCGGCATGGAGCAGGGGAGCAGGGGAGCAGGGTCTGTCCCCTTCCTGTGCCATGTGCCATGACGGGACCCATGACCATACGCACGTGCACACCTACAGCCCAGCACCTGGATAAGCAGGGCCACCCACACGCTGTCACCTGCCTGCCTGGCTGCCAGGTGGCACCTCAGCCCCTCCTGACACCTGCCGGCTGCCGGGCTGCCGCTTCAGACACACAGGGAGGGTCCCTGCCCCGGGGGAACTTATCGGTCATCTAGATGGGTCAGCCCAGCCGTCGGCTCACGGGTTTGTGTTTGCTCCTGTAGGCGGAACAGCAGCTGGTAGACTGTGCCCAGGCCTTCAACAACCACGGCTGCCAAGGGTACGTCCCTGACAGGAGGGCCTCTGCCCCTGGCACTCGGCCCAGAAGCGTCTGCGAGCTCCAGCCTGCAGGCCCACCTGTATAGGTGGCCCAGGTGACACCTCTGTGTTTGTTTCTTGCAGGGGCCTCCCCAGCCAGGCCTTTGAGTACATCCACTACAACAAGGGCATCATGGGGGAGGACACCTACCCCTACACGGGCAAGGTAACTCCAGGCACCCTCGCTCCCATCACGGGCCCACCCTGGCCCCAGAACACACCCCTTCCTGCCTCCTGCGGGGGCAGGGCTGCCCCTCCCGCCGGAACCTCAGAATTCTCTGCCTCTTCGGGTCCACTCCTCCACCTCTTCTGCCACCTAAGCGGGCAAGCCCAGGGCCTCTTCCACCATCTGTGCCAGCCCACCGCTCCCCCTCGCCTCTCCCACACCATACCCACCGCTTTCCCTCCTGCCATCCGTCGGGAGCGTGTCCACGCAGTTAGACTCACTCCTGGGACACTCTCCTGGGCCCGCACCCACTGTGCCCAAGGTGCGCCTGCCATCAGCCCAACCCAGCCCAGCCATGGCCCAAGCCTGTGGCTCTGCCTATATCTCCTCAGTGATGAGCAGCACCAGCCTCCCCCAAAACCTGTGGGCCACCAGTGGTCTGTTCTGGGGACAGTCTCCCCCCGAGACCCTCACTTCAATCTGCCTTCTGGCCACCGCAGGCCCTCTCATGCCTGCTCCTTCGGTTCCTCCGTGGCCCTGCCACCACTCAGCCTTGGCTTCCTTCATACTCGGTCACTGAGGGCAGCCTCCCCTCGGGCACCATCCACTGGGGGCTGCCAGCGTGGCCAGCGTGGCCTCTCAGACCTGGCCAACCACCTGCTGCCTGGCTCAGAGGTCTTCAAAGGCTCCTCAGGGCTACAAGATCAAGTCCAGCCTCTGGCCTGCGCTCCGAGGCCTGCCCCACCCCCACCCCCACCAGCCTTCACA